ATTATTATTATTATTATTATTATTATTATTATTATTATTATTATTATTATTATTATTATTATTATTATTATTATAATAATGTCATTAATTATTAATTATTATTATATATCTTAATATTTTTTTGCTCCTTTCGTTAAATCTTATCAAGCCACAAACTTCAGGTGGTCAGTTGTCACAGGCTCAGCCCTCCTATGCTCTTGGCTTAAGCCCCTACAATCAGTATGGTGGAATTCCAAATATGACTTTAGGAACAAGTGGTATTGCATCACAATATATGTCATCTGCTGGATATCCACAATATGGTCAGCAGCACTTAAATCAATACGCACAAAATAATTACATGCAACAATATTGGGGTCCCGGCGGAAATAAAGTCCCTCAATATTCGAACCAATCGCCTGAAAAGAAATAAAAGTAATTATTTGATATTTTAATGATTTTTTGTTTGGCCTATTTTTATTCTTATTGTACAGACTTCGATGGCTGAACTTTCATTTATATATAAATTTTTTTTTTTTGTAACTTTTTTTTTTTTTTTGAAAAAGCATTGGTTGATTCATCTCGTTTGATATGGGAATGAATAATTGTTTATATTTTAAAAGAATTTTTACAACTTATGAAATATATAGTTTTGATTTATGTTCTTTATTACAAAGAAAAAAAAAAAAGAAAAACTTCGTTCATGTATCATTTTTTTTTTTCATTTTCCATTCGATTGATTGCTCTCATACCACTTTAAAAAAAAAAAAAGAAGGCATTCTTCGATTGGTTGTTAATATATATATATTTTTTTTATTCTCCACATACAACAAACACCCTTTGCAATATACATATTACCATCCCGCTTTCTTTTTCTTGTAACCAATTTTTTTCTTTCTTTAAAAAAAAAAAAATTTCAATAGTAGTATCAGCAACTTTTTTTCCTCAAAAAATAGTTCTTGTTGACTCAAGAACTAAAGATTATTTTCCTTTTTTCAGATATTGGTTTTATATATAGGTATTAATTAGTTAACTTTTTTTGATTTTGAAAAAAAAAAGGCTGATGTAAATCGATAAATATATATTTTTTATAAATAAATAAAAACATACAAATTAAAGTTTTCACGATTTTAATACTATGAACAAGTTTATTAAATATTTAGCAAATCATTATGAAAATAGTTACGTATAAAAAAATCAATATCATTCAAATTGTCATTAACAAAGCCCAATCATCCTATTCAAGCATAGTAAGATGTACTGTACCAATACGTACATAAGTAATTGTCATCAATTTGTAGCCAATATATTACAACATAATATTGCATCTTTATTTATAAAATAACTTGTTCGTAAGTTAACATCAATTAAATTTGTTCATTTTAAAGGTAGAACAAAAAAATATATAATTTATTTTTAAACTAAATTTAGCCTTTTCTTTTTTAAAACAATATATATTTCAATACGTATACGTATAAAAGAACATAAATTTCTTATACCATATATAATTGATTCTAGATAGTATATATATATACATATGCGCCTATGGATCAACACTCTAATACATAAAAGAACCTACTTCTACAATATATATATATATATATATAATATATATATATATATATATATATATATACTATATGACCCTACTTCTTCACAAAAATTTTTAACGTGAATGTTACATTGTTAAAAAAATTTTTTTTTATAAAAATATTATTACATGTACATGGAATATTTTAAACAATTTTTTTCATTTTGATTCTCTACGCATAAAAAAAATAAAAAAAATAAAGCAAGATAGAAATAATTTTATAAGCGAAAAGACTTTATTTAATAAAACATGATACATATGAATGACTAAGCCAGATTTAAGAAAAAGGCTGCATTGCACGAATATGATTAGGAGAAAAATTATGTTTAATATATACCGTATTAGGAGGATCTTGACCGGATGGAGCGTCAGGAGCGTTCAAACAAGCCTGGATCAAATTCTTTCCTTCAGGCTTGGTAACGAGGGGTTGAAGTTTTGGAGTAGTAAAAGTGTAGACCAAACCAGTTTCTGACACAACCAAAAGTAGAACTTGGGTCCCAGTAAGAGTACTTAATTCATATGCCTAAGAGGTAAAATAATGAATAATAAAGAAATATTAACGAAAGAATAAAGCGTAAAGGGATAGGATGGAAGTAGAACTTTGAAAAAATAATGTTGATTGATTGTCTTTGTTTGTACACCACTTTTAGTTCGTTAATCAAAAGAGGAAATTTTAATTTAAACACGACGACAAAAATGGCAAGGATGACATTATGCATTTTATACAGATTTAAATTACAAAAAAATGAATAAAGATATATATACATATATTATGTATATACATATATATATATATATATACATATATCGAGAGAATAAAAAATCAAGAATCACCTTTTTCATTATTCCGGCTTTTCGTTTACTGAAAGTAATATGACGTCTACTTTTGTCATCGATATATTCAATTTTTATTTTACGACGACCAGCACGTTTTTCACTTTTAGTACCACTTTCTTCTTCGTTAGATTCGATATCGTCATCTTCGTCATATTCACGTTTACTAGAACCTTTTAAAGTTGACGGTTCAGCCAAGTCAACGCTGTGACCCGAAGCGTTACTTTGTTTTCGCTGGTTATTTGGACTTGCAAGGCCGCTCATGTCTGTGGCGTGCATTCAAAAGTGGTAAGTGGAAAGGACTTTTTTTGGAGGTTGCAGAAAATTTGACAGGTAGCTAACCGGGTAGTGAGTAACCTTTTTGCGTAGTCTGTATGCGTAAAAGGAAGTGAGGAGGAAAAAAAAAGAAAATGAGCTGACCGAAAAGATTCGCCCCCTTGTAAATGTTTTGAAAATATTATTGCATCATATCACGTGTACATGTGAATAATAAAGATCCGAGTGACACGGAGAATGTAACACACAAAAAAAAATGGGGGAGGAGAAAGAACCAATAACCGAATGACTAAAATGCGTCAGAACTGCGCCACAAACCAATAAAAATCTAGGAAGCAATCAATTCAAATAAATCAAAAGGTAGGAAGAAAAGAAAAATAATAAAGAGAGTGAAAAAAATGGATGTATGCGCGGGGAGATTGGGTTCGGTAATGAACGAGATGATGAACAAGATGAGTGTAAGACGAACGGATGATTACGGAAATTTGACACGCCGAACATAGACAAATGAAAATTCGAGAAGTAAAAAAAAAAGGACAAAAAAATTCGCGAAAAGAGAAATAAGAAATAAATTACAGATTGTTAGATGAAAAAGGAAATTCATCGAGCGATTGGATGAGTGAGCGCGTCGATACATCAGAAAGATTCTCTTAGAGCATTTTAGAACATTTAAAGCATTTTAGAGCATCTTAGAGAATCTTTAATGAATCTTTGCGATTCTTTGAGCAAGAAAATAGTACACGAAATATGATACTAAAACGATAAAACCAAGCAAATTAAACTAAAATAAAGAGAAAAAAAAAAAAAGAGAGAAAAAAAAAAAGAAAAAAAAAACTAGCATGCGAAAAAAAAAACCATTTAGGATGAACTCACATTCTTGAATAACTTTTTTTAGTAGAAAATAGAGATTTTCCCGAGTCACAAGCTTTAAGGAAAAAAGCGAGGAAATTTAGTAGAAGAAAGGGATGAAATATTTTATTTTGTTTTTGATAAAGTGCCAAACAGTTGGCTTGAACAAAAGGGGCAGGAAGACAACAAATTGGACGTAAATGGATTCTGGGTTTTTTTATAACATCCCAATTCTAGTCAAAAGGGTCTGTCAAAAAAATAATTCACATTATTCACATTATATTTAAACATATTTTATTTTATATTAGTCTAATTTCACATAATGTTAAACCGGAAAAGTCGGGAACCTCACAAAACAATACAATCGACCTCATTGATATTACACAATACGGAAAAAGTAAAAAGGCTTGTTTAATCGGTATACATAAACCTGTTTGTCGGTATACGATGGAATTTCATACACTCCAAGAGAAAATTTCCAGTAATTTTCCTGAATAGAAACAAACAACCGTTTTTAGAACAGTCAAACTTCTTTGGGAAATTTTTAACACTCCGCCACCGTCCCTCTATATGTTACTCTATATATGTCATTGACCTTTCTCATTGAAGTTGCGTTATCTCTGTGTATATCTTCAGTAAAACGTTGTACAAATTATCATGACTCATCCATTTCAGCTTGATAAGCACGAAACACAAAGTGTTTTTCCTCCTCGGAAGCTCTTCACTTTGAAACCGAGATTCAAATTTTTAAGAATTTGACGTCAATATTCTAACATTCTTGTAATATTCTTGTTTAAATCTCTTTTAGGCCATTCCTATTCTATTTCTAAACTATTCTTAAAACTGTTCTAAACTAATTCATAAACTATAAACTATAAACTATGTAATAATATTATTAATATTGTAATAATAAATAATAATAATATTATTATTAAATAATTAAATAAATATATATATATATATATATATATATATATATATAATATTATATATTATTAAAATAAATATAATAATAATATATATATATATAATAATAAACTATATATATATATTAATAAACTATTAATAGACTATTCATAACTATTCATGAAAAACTATTTATATATAAACTATTCATAAATTCTCGATAAACTATATATTCATTATTCGCAAACTAATAATTCATTGACTATTCCATATTTCTTTCATTATTTAAAATTTGTTTTAGAAGATGTGATAATGATAATCGCCTTATTTATTTTTCCGCGCGTCTTTGGCATTCCAGGAACGAAGTGTTTAATCATAGAAAACTCGTGTTATGTGTTAGTATATTGCGGTTCTGTGTTAGTTCTGTGTTATTCTGTGTTTAGTGATACTTTTTCTACTTTTCGTTTCTTAACTCCGGTGCTACTTCCCCGTCCCTTTTCGGTCATTTAATTCACTAATTCGGAATTTGAACGACAAACAAAGGTGTATATGTGAAACTCAATCAAAAACTAGCTGAACTTTTCGTTTCAAGAATCAATTTATATGTATTTGGAAGTCTCTATTGTACAAACTTGATTAAAAAAGAGAACAAAGGAAATTTCACACAGAACATCTTTTTTTAAAAAAAAATATTAAATCACTTTATCATATGTAAATGCTTTTGGCGTCCTTATGTTGGCATCTGATGAGAAAATGTCGTGAAACAGATTTTAATTGATTTGGGGTTAGTTGCATGAACTATGTCAGCTGGAATGGGCGTAATATCTGTACTCCATTGAAAATCTCGGTCCGTATTATTCCTATGTTGTTTCGGATACTCTCATGGTACATTTATATATGTGTGTATTTCTTACTTATTTCTTATTTATTTCCTATTTAGTTTTCTCCTTTTTTTATTGTATCCCTTCTTTTTAAATGGTTACGTAGAAAAAGATCTTTCAGATATAGCTACAAACAAAAAGTCCTTATTTCCCATTGTGACTTTAAATTTTTTTCTTATCACGTGATTATTTTTTTTTAAAATGTATTCTCTAGTTACGTATTAATGAAATGAATTAATCTTATATCAAAATATATACACTAAGAAATGCATGTTCAATAAACGTCCACAAGATAAAATATCTTTGAGTAAGTTGCTTCTTAATAACTGCCTATTTATCTTGTTTATTTGAAGTGACGTTCGGCCCTGTCGAAGCTCTAAAGAATCTTTAGTAATCTTACATTCCAAGAGTCAAAAAGTGGCCAAAACTGAATCTGAAAAGAGATTCTCTTCCTTGGTCGTTGCCAAATACTATATAGGCGTCTGTAAACGACGGTTGTTTGTGCAACATTACCCAGAGGAGTTACATATATCACTTTATTGCAAAAAAATATTGTCACGGTGAAACGGTTGAAACAAAACGTGACAATTTTTTCGTTCTATCATCATTAATTATTGATACCAATTTTATCATCTTTTATGATCAAAAATTAGGTGACTTTAAATTTCAAAACCATCTTCCTTTATATGTTAC